AGGAAACTGGTTACCACCCATGTCTTCTTTCCCATCCCCTGTGGGACGAGACCCTAGTATAATGGTAGTGAGCCTGCCAGGGACATGAGGTCAATGTCCTAGAGGACAGTCACATAGCATGATAGAAAGAATCCAGGTGTTTGCACCACCTCATGGAACAAAGCTACCCTGGAACAGCTGGCAGCTCAATTTTTCATATAAGAGAGAAATAATTTTATTATTTTGTTTTAGCATTCATTTATTTCAGTCTCTGATGAAACACCCTAACCAATATCTGACCTAACAAATGCCCTTCATATATCCATGGCACCTTAAAAACTCTATGCCCAAAAGTAACATCTGCTACCTGGAAGGGTGCAGCACAAACACACTAGTATGGGTCTATTTACCAAATTTGTCCAATCCCCTTAAAAGAGAAAACAGAGCCCAATGTAACATAGAACAGAGATATTTTGATGCTAGAGAGGAAAATAGAAAAGCCAGAAGAATGGGTCCTCATGTAGGGCGCTCTGTACAGCACTATTCTCTCAAAGAAAGATATGGAAGAAAAGAAAGCAGCAGCAAGGATGGAAAAGTTGGAAGCCAAGTGACCCATCCCAGAGGGGGGACCATGCCATTTCTCACTATACTGAGAGTTCCTTGAGGGAAGTGGTACTTTCTTTTCCTAAACTTCCTGGTGCATCACAAGCAAACAAATGTTTTTCAAATAGAATAAATAAACGAGTAAACAATTGACAGTAGCTGATCGATTTCCTTCTTCAATACCTAATGTCCTATTAATCCTGCAGCCATTATAATTATTCCAACAGAAGCTTTAAAAAAAAAAACCTACTGAATAATTTTGAATTTGCTTCACTCCTGGGTAGCAATGAAATCCTCAAGTGTCTACCTGACAGAGTGATATCAGGAAGCAACAGGGAGCAGCCAGAAAGGCAGGTAGCAGATGCCAAAATTAGGAGGCAGTTTCCACTCCTCCAGATGAAGAACTGTAAAAGGAGTGATAGATTGCAGCACAAAGAGAAACCTTTAACTAGGTTTTACCCGGCATGGCATCAAGTAAGTGGCATCGGCTGCATTCCGTGAAGGAAAAAAAGTGTCTGTGTGCTGAGATGTCAGCTTGTAAAAGTGTCAGTCTCTAAAATAAATCAAGTAGCAAATGGAAAACATATAAATAACTATACTTGATGCCAGCAACACTAAGTAAGAAAAAAAGACATTTTAAAGGAATTTTCTTTGTTAACCACACAGTGCATTGGGCTTAACAAGAGGGTTTTCTAGATTAGCAAATGAAGTTTTTTGGTTTTACATAGAGTAAATGGTAGTTTCAGGGTCTGGTGGATGAGTACTGATGGGAAAGGCCAAAATCTGGGCTTCTACCTTAACTCTGTTCTTATGACACAACCTGCACCTCTCAAGAATTTTTCCCTCTCTCATTTACAATTTCCTCCTCATAAAATGGAAACTGAGAACCTATTTCTTTGCTATCCTTTACTGCACCTCACTTGCTCACATAGTTTAAAAACCCGATAATGACACTATAATCATGTGCTCAAATTTGGGTGGAGGAGGGGTAGGGCCAAACTGTCATCCAGAGAATAAAGCATGTGATTTCAGGGAAGCCAGGATGGGTCCACCACCCCACAAATACACCCAACCGCCTGCTCAATGGTGCTAACAGGAGTCAAACCTTACACTCTACAGCAAAAAGGGACATTGCACAGATATGAAACGGCAGCACCATGGAGCAGATGAGATCATCAGCTTTAGGATCAAGAGATCCAGTTTCATATCCTAGTTTAACCCTTTATTAAGTGTGGGACTCCAATAAGTCCCAGTTTCTTCATCTGTAAATGGGGTGGGGTGGGGATGGAATATCTGTGGGTCAGCTGAGGGCAGTAAATGACAGAAACAGGTTATCTATTGCACAAATAAGAAAATGTCTTTTCCAAGCATGGGTAGAGACAGAGCCTTGGCAATCAAAACAGAAACCTGCTATGTGCAGGTGGATGAGAGGAGATAATCTTACCTTTATTGTAGAATCAGAAGGGCTTTATTTATGTCCTTAGCTGTGCCTTTCAACATCTGCAATCCTGTTTCCAAACGTTGGAGCTTTTCAGGGTCCTCCATAGGCAACAGAAAGACGTGATCAACTTTTATTTATAAATGAGTTTCTTTAGATTGGGCCTCAACTTTTGCCTATATCTCTATCCAGTTGATTGCTTTAGCTGCAAGGCAGCTCCAAAACCCACAAAGCTGCCATATTTTAAAGGGAACCGATAGGGAACCGAGAACTGAAAAGTTTGCCTCCCACCTTCACTTCCCTACTCTCCTCACGGACTCACGCCTGCTGTCAGTTCTCTAAGTGCCTACATTACCTAGCGCCCACTGAAACGTTCCTTTTATGACATTAATTCACGAGGCTCTTTCCCCCTCAGGTGATTTAAATCCTGAATTTTCATCTGCATTGGAAAGAAGCATTTAGGATAGAATTAGTTATATGGCTATTTCTGAAAGACTTACCTCTGTTTGTACTCCCCTCCTTATTTAAAAATATATACTTCTTTAAAATTATCACCTCCAGTGATCTGATCTAATTCTGTCAAATGGCTTCTATTATAGTTTTCCCTTCAGGATCCCTTAATTATGACCTCATTTTCTTCCTCATTCGACTTAGCTACTAATCCAAACAATTATAATTAGGAAGTTTTCTAGGTTGGAATAGTTGAGTTGGCTACAAGGCCACCTGCTGCATCTTAAGTAATTACTTAATGGTGAATAATTTGGCTGGCTCAGGCCAACAACGGTTTCCTCAGTAACAATCCTAATTTTCTAGTAGACTAATGTCTTCTTTCCTACACATATAGATTTTCTGTCATGTAAATGTTCTTCCACTAGTACTGCCTCTATCTTGCTATCACTGAGCAATTCTCTACAGGTAACAAGAGTCCAATGTATTATGCATGCTCTATTGCTCTAATAAATAAAAGGATTAGCTTGTTTACAGCTGCCAGTGTGGTCCTGTTAATTTGACATTTCATCTGGCTATGTTTGACTGCAGAGACTAAAATGAAGCCTGCCTTCATTTTTTACTTTTCCAGAAACATAAAAGGAACTGGCTAATTGCTCAACTATCCAACTCTGGTACTTGAAATGAAAAATATGAATGTATATCTTTACTTTTTCTTCCCAGTCCCTATCAACATCATCACCGGATTTTTTCATAGCTGAACAATATCTTGGTTAGTTACATGCTTGTTTATTCTTATGACTCTCACAACTTACAGACAAATCCTTTACTTGGAAAAAAAATAAGATAAAACGTATAGTCCCTAAATTATAATTTCAGAAACAAAGCCTTGATCATGATATCCACAATCTTAACAGTTCCTGAAAGGGAGCTCCTTTTTTTGGACCGTCTAGAAAGCAAAGACTACTCAAGCTATCTTCAAAATATACTTCATGAAACTTGGCAATATTATGATACCTATTCTTAAAACGTACGGAAAACTTCCTGTTACAGTTTAATTCAATTATAAACTTTATTCTTATATATTCTAATTTCTCAAATAATTTCCTTAATATTTTTTTCTTCATTAGTTGTCTTCTTTCTCTACCCCTTTAAAAAGCTTTTATGGACTTTCTTATGACACTGAATCTACAACCACCTTCTTTCTTCATATAATGACTTCTTTACCCTTCTCCCATAAGATCTTTCAAGAATGACTAAAGGACACTCAAACATGAGAGAAGAACAAGCTTCCACCTGCAACAAAAGTAAATGACCTTTATGTGCCTAGACCTTGAACTAGGGCCATGGCCAGTGGGAACACAAGAGATGAAACAAATTTGTTAAAATTAAATTGCCAATAGAAAACTAAGGATTGCTCCAAACAAGACACTTATGACACAGAGAACTAATATCACATTGCTTTCATGTCTCGTGTGCCTATAGTATTTTCTGAAAGGCAGGGCCACCAACAAAGACCGGCATTTATACTCCTTTGAACTGTTTTGCATTTGGCAAGGATCTTGCAAAGCTCAGTTTCCTAAAATATTTAAAGGAAAAAGTAGAAAATAAATCTTACATCTTTTCTACAAGCTATCTAACACTGTGAGCATTGCAAACTGGGTGAAGGGAGATATAAGAGAGGATAAGAAGTGTATAGTTGCTCGTATCTGACACAAGCTAAAAGGGCAGATATTTATTGAATGCTTGTTGTGCAACAGACATAAGGCCAAGGGCTTCATTTGTCTTCATTTATTCTCAAAACAGCCCTGTGAAACAGATACTGCTTTATTCTCATTTTACAAATGGGGAAACTGAGACTTGGAGAAGTTAGGTGATTTTCTCCAGGCCAAGCAGTACTGAAAGTGGATCCTGAATCTAAAACCAAGCCTCTCTACTCCAAAACCCAAAGTCTTACCAATCCTTAAAACTGAAAGACTCTAAGATTTGAAGCTAACATCCAAAGTATTTATTATGATCCTATCCTAGGTGCCAGGCAATATTAATCACACTAACAGGCCTCCAACCTTTCAGCCTGGGCTGGAGCTCAGTGAGTGTTCTGTAAATTAGAGAATAATGATGATGTCTTCCTCCTAGAATTGCCAAAGCAAGTCCAGCATAAGCCCAGCTGCCGGGAACATTACACCATCAAATAAATCCAGCACCAAACATGATTCCTGTGTTTTGCCAGCCAGGTGGCTCTGTACATATGGCAGCCCTGCTCCCTAGCAGGAGTGACATAGGGGGAAACAACCTGAGTGATGGAAAACAGCAGGCATTTAAATACTTCCACTCAGACAGCAGGTAGCTTGTTACCTGAAATGCCCAGGATCCATCATTTGGCAATGAGAGCATGAATACCAGACGCTGATTTCAGAAACGCAGCAGGAGAATACCACTGTGCACACATTCATGGTGGAAAGAGATGTTTCCTGTTTCAGATCCGGGGTATGTCTAGTACCCTATATCCTTCCTCCTTCTCATCTTATACCCTCCTCATAACAATGAGCTCAGAGCTTTTCTCAAGAAATCTGATCAGGTCAGATCCCTCTCTCTCTCCTACCATTTTGGAGTGCTACATCACAGCAGGATCTGTTGTTCTAGCAAGCAACAGAGGCATTTTGATGCATTGACATTCTGTAGGAATATTGGAAACCCTGACAGCACACCAGCTCCCCATGGGACTGAAGGAGGGCATTGGTGTGTGTGACAATCTGCCTGTTAACCAAGAAATTTTGATTAGCAAGAAACTTTACCTGATGACTATGGCTAAGAAAAGCCATAACTCAGTTGATTAATCTCTTTTCTTCCTCCCTTCTTCATTCCTTGATCCCATTCTCTTGCACTCCTGCAATGAGTGAAAACCTGATTTGTAATCGATGCTCAGGAATGTTGTTCATTGTTTCTTTGGGGGAGGAAGTGTTGCTTGTTTTACTAAAAGGGGTTTTTGTCTGGTTGATTTGACTACAATTTGCAGAACCTTACCCAAACTGGCTTAAGAAAACATTAGGGAGGTGACAAGCAATTTAATGTAAAGATACACTGGAGAAATAACAAAGATAATGATGTTAAAGGACTCCTAGAACTGGAACAGGATTCAGAAATTCTAGTTTTTGAGCCTCTAGGGAACGACTTCTCTCTCCTAGTCTCTCGGGGGTCTTCACGTCCCATCTATGAGTCATGCTGGCTGGTGGCTCCATTCTTCTCCTATCAGTGTCTTCCTCAGCCTTCCACAGCCTGCACATGGCTTGTCAGGGCCTTTCTCCACCTTCTGACGTCTCCTGATGCATCCTGTCCTTGTTCAATTTCCCAGAAGAATCGAGTTGACCCAGTCCACCTTCTCAGACCTGGTCTCAGGTCTCTCCCATGGTCTTCCCCTGATGTCAGGCTAATAGAAATCTGACTCCACAGAAAAAGACAAGACTTAATTATTAGCCAGATATTTGCTTGGGAGGTGAGGTGCTGGAAGAAGTGGGGGGATCCTCTGTGCATTTCATTGCCACTGTAGATATTTTCATTTTTCTTTATTCAACTTTGTAGTCCTACCTGATCTCTTACTTAAATTGGTGAATTACCTACAGGATAGATTCAGAATTAGGTTACATTTTTAATCCCAATGTATACCTTAGGGCAAATAACTTCAGTGAGCCTTTCTGTAAAATGGGATAATATTCTTCAGCTACCTCTTTTTCTTTCATAAAATATAGAGTAGATAAAATGAATTGGAATTAGCCCCTGGAGAATCTCAGGTGAGAGTCTCTCTGTAGGTAGGAGGCATTACTGTTTCCACATATCACTGAGGTGGGGATTTCCTGGGATCACAGCTACCATTCACTTCTTCAAGAGCACTGGCAAAGCCCCACATCTAGGTATATGCATATTGAAAATCCACTTCCTGACAGCTTCCTAGAATGGGTCCCCAAGATAAGTGATTAGCATGGACAATGATGTGAGCCTCAAATCTAGCTTCTCATTTTGCTAATTATTCCTCCTTTAACCTGTGTAATTTTGATGTAGGCAATCATTTGGAAAAACTATGTACACAGGGGATTTTGAAATTTCTGAGTTCAAATGAATTAGACATACATAATTAGGACATCAGGTAGTATTTTCCAGGAGTATAAACTGTACTTGAATCTCAGTGACAAACTCACGAAGATAAATCTTAAATCTATCCAGTGCTATGGATGTTGGTATCTTGGGCTAGAGAAAGGACATGCTAATGAATTGTAAATGCTAAATGGTAATAATGTTAATAATAACTCTCACTGATTTATGGTTTTATTCTATTCAGTTCTTTCAGAACTATTAACATATACATTCTCTGAAAAGAAAGAGACATGAATGGTTGGTGCTCTAGAATAACTTTCTGTTGTTTTCATTAACTTCTCCATCATCTTCTTGAACATTGCAGATTTTTGTAGAGTCATGTGTTCTATAGAGGAAAAGTTAGATTAGGGAACCACACTCCCAAGGCCACAGTCAATATATCCCTTCTGCTTCTCAAATAACCCTGAGGAACAGCAGGGGCAGGGATGGAGTCGCCAATCGGCTGTGCCGGCCACAGTAATCATTTCCACGGAAATGTTGAATGTACGAAAGCTATTGGTCAACTGAGATATGACTATCAGCCAAATAGGACCATAAGTGAATGGACCTTCCTATAGGGTTCATTGTCACAAGTTCATGAGTCCTGGAGATCTTCTTAATAGTTCTATGGGATGGTAATAGGGCAAGCTCTAGACTCATTCTAACCTCAAAGGATCAGAGATTTTATTTCCTCATGACTATCAATCAATCACAATTCTAAAACTAAAGAAGATCAATTTAAAAATTACTAAATTGTATTTATCAACAAACAAAGTACATTTTCCACTTACCTTAAGATCTCTATGAATTAACTGTTTCGAATGTATATAATCCACTCCTGTTGTTATTTGTTCAAAGAATTTCAAAGCCAACTCTTTGTCTAGTTTCTCGCCTTTTCTGCAATCAAGCCATTGCTCCAGTGTTCCTTTATCGCAGAATTCCATTTGGATGAAAAGATACTTAGTCTCTGGTCTGGATATAAAATTCACAGTATGTTAAAAGTAACTTCATTAAAAATAAACTTATAAAAAATACATTTTTAAAAAAATTATAACTTATCTTCTTAAGAATCCCCAAAACATGTCTCAAAACAAAAATCTAAATGTAATAACTTTGAATCAAAATATAACAAACCATTTTTTATTTAAAAAAAATATTAACTAAAATACATGTTGCTACCCAGGCTAAATGTTGTCCACCTAGAAACCAGTCTCTGTTATTCAAGCTCTAAACACTTTTTCTTCCAGAACAAAGGGTTTTGAATTCTATAAATTACTCACACAGTTATCTTAACTCCCTCCCATACTACCCTCACACCTGCGTTGTTTAAGTGCCCAGCCAACAAGTGAAGAAGACAAAGTGAAGACTGATAAAGGATATTTGAAATCATAAGGGAAGAGTACTTCAGTATTTAAAATACTGAAATACAAATCATTATTTTCAGGACCAGAGATTTGGGGAATGCTTAGAGTTAGTAAACCAAAAAGATAATAAATCAGTTTTTATTGACCACTTGCTGTATTTATATAAATGAGATGAGCTATAGGAAAGTTATGAAAGATATGAAAAGTTAAGTTTGTAACCTTAAAGAACATGTATTTCTTATCTAATCAGTAGGCTATATGTTTCTTTGTGTATGCTCACACACACATAATTATAGACACTCAGTATGAGTATCCAAAATCTTTCTTTTTCTTTCAATCCATGAATATACATACTTGAAGTGAAAAGTTAAAAATTTTAGACAACAGTGATCCGAAGGTAGTCACATAGTTTTCCTCTTTGACAAAAGATTTGTAAATGCTTTTCTCAGCCACATTTGCATCCCTAGAGTCCAATATGGTCTCGAGCACAGCACCAAATAGTCGTGCTATAGAAACACACTGAAGAAATGTGGTGAGGGAAAGAGGGGGGTGGAGAAAGAGGAGTAAGCTAAGGGAGAAGAGGAAAGAAGGAAGACAAAAAGATGGTCTGGGAATTCCTAGAGGTAATGATATTTCTATTTTCAACCCACAACATGTGTTCAAATGTTTCTTCACTTTATTTCCCTATCTCCTGGGTATTGTCATTCTTAAGATTTAACTCAATGTTCACAAATTCATGATCTGACATCTAAGTCTGCTCCCCTGAACCCAAGATCAAGGCTACAAATACTTTAAACACCTGCAGCTATTTTCCAATGACTCCGATTCCCACCAAGCTCCCACTCCCCATCTTTAATCTAAACCCTTGAATCCCCGTGTGAGGGACAGGTTCTGTCCTGCCACTTTCTCCCTGCACACACCTCTTCATCTAGCTCCCTCAGAATGCCACCTGTTTTAAACACCCTGCCTGGATTTCAGCTGGGCTTCTCACCCCTGTCTCGAATCTTCCCAGACTCCATGGTCTGAGCCCTCAGGCCAGTTCCACTCCAGTCTTTGGAAAGCAGCCCCTGTCTAATGTCCCAGGTGCTCACTTGTGTGAGAGTAGAGTTCCAAGTCCTGGCGTTTCTGAGAACCACTGCTGACAGGACTGTAACTTTACTAGGTGCCCCATGGTTTCTAATACTTATCTTGTGAGACCTCCTTGTCTCAGTGTCACCATCAGAAAAATATAAATAAGAAAAATGATATCAAGAGTACAGGGATGGTTTATTAAATGTTAACATTTTTGTGGGAACTGCTTTGTAAATTGTAAAGAACTATACAAATACTAGTGATTTTTTTCAGAGAGTATTCATAGGACTCTGTCAGATAATGGAAAAAAACAAAACTAAACAACAACAACAAAAAGAGTTTAGCTCCATGCCCAGTTACACACCCTACCCAAACTAGAACCTCCTCTTTTGCTCGTGTGATGGCATAATGGAATATTGTACCTGTAGTGTTTGTGTAAGTGTGACTCTATTTTGTTTGGTTATTTATCTCATCCCCAACAGAAAAATGAGTGTGCACTACTGTAGCTTGACAAATGATCAGAGAGAAGTTTTGAAAGAAAAGGTCAAATGTCATGAAAAGGGAGACAGTGCTGTCAACAACAGGGAAATGCCTCCCGGAGAGTCTGAGACATGGGCGGAACTCTCGCCATGCCATAACTCAGTGCCGCGGCACAAGAGCAGTCCTGGCTCACAGGGGAAGCGCAAGGCGACGGGCACAGGTGGCTGCGACACAGCCCACTGTCCCTCACACTGAAATCTGCGTGGTCAGTGAGGCTTCCCAGTTCCTTCCACGTTCTCAAAAAAACACCCCCACTAAGTGGGCGGGGGATTATTTTTTTATGTTTTAACATCACAAGGTAGTTAGAGCCACTCTTCAGGAAGCCTCGACAGCATCTCAGACCTAATTTTAGGAAAAGAAGGAACTCAAGAGTCCATTATTTCAGAGAGAAAACCCACATGGAGAGCATTCAGCTCCATCACTGCAGTTATTTCTGAGGTTAAACCAAATAAAACCTTCAAAAGTGTGAGTAACTGCCCTGAAATTTCTTTTCCTGTCAGAAGCACTAATACTAAATTAGATTTAGGATTGCAGATGCAAGAAATCACTGTGAAAACTTTCCCCTCCCTTTCTTTCTTTTTCTAAGAGATCCCTCATTGTAGACACTGGGATTAGCAGCATTGTGTCGCTTCTATTGCTGGATCTCCAAATTAGTTAAACTATCAAAATGTATAGTCTTTAAAAGCAAGCAGATAGTTTCCATTGTTCACGGTTAGCTGTCGAAGAGGTAGACGCCAGTGTGATCGTATAATACTTGCCTGACTCATTATTTTTCAAGTGAAATCTTAGGTCTGTGGTGTACATCATGATGTCAGTTCATGCTATGATTTATATGTGAAGAGAATGTTCTGTATCTGTAAGACAAGCAACACTCTGCTTTTCAACATTTCCAGAGAGTAAAGAATATGTATATGAACAAAAGAAAAAAAAGTCTATAACAAAAGTTCACGAATTCAACAAGCAATGACAGAGGAGAGGGACAAAGAAATTAGGCAGCTTCCCAGGTCCTGCAGTTAATCCACAGCCAAGCAGAGGCTCCAGCCCAGGTCTTCAACCCAAAGCCCAGTCTCTTTCTGCTACATCACAGCGTTGCCCCCTCAGGGATCTCACAAACTCTAAGGCGAGATAAGACAGAGATGCACATTCATTCAACATTCATTCATTTGTTCAGTAAATGAAATTTGTTCTGCTGCACACCTCTCCAAGTGATAAGCATTACCCGAAATACGAGGGAAAGTGGGATGTCGGCCAAAAAGAGGGACAAAGTGCCATACATAGGCAGACACACACAGAGATCACCAGGATGCCTTTGAGTAGGCTTCCAATAGGAGGGAACAGTTAAGACACTTCCTGAAGGTCAGGTCCAAAGCAGGGATGGACCAGGGGAGGAGCGTCATTGTCAATGAAGTATACACTGTTTAGGCTGTTTAGGGACGTATGGGGAGAGGGAACTATAAATCGCGTGGTGTGCATGGAGTGTCGGTAATTGAAAATGTTGAAAAATGCAGGTGGGGGCCAGATCCTAAAGAGTTTTAAATATCAAAATAGGAAGCCTGTGTTTTGCTTACCAGGCAATGGAAAGTTGTGGACAGTGCTTAGTTAGGAGTTACTTAGCCAGAGCACACTGTAGAATGAGGACTGTGGAAGGAGTGTAGCTGAACGGTGGGAAAGAGTCTAGCAGCCAGAAGAACACCTGTAGCGCAGGTGACAGGTGCGGAACGATGTTGGGTGGTGACAGCAAAGAAGGAGGTAAGATGGGATGCCTTGAATTAATAAGGCGAAAAAAATCTCCTGCAACAATTTATAAGCAACGTCCTCTCGTGAACAACCTTCTCTAAAAATACAACGAGGCACGATATGAGCATCCAGTTTGATGAGCCCATGACATCTCCAGCAGCTCAGCCGTCACTCAAAGCACGAAGCTGCCTGAGTATAGAAAACACCAACTATACAAGCATCGGGGTCACCTCAGAATTTATCCCTAGACACGACTCACTCTCAGCCACGGAGGTGCCCCCTCTCCGAGACAGGAAAGACTCTGATTCTCTCACTCGGTTGTATAACCTCATCGTTAGTGGATCACGATTGGAGAAAGATCATTTTCCAAAGCCATGCAGGAATACATATGCCGAGTCAACTGGCTAAAGTAAAAGAGAGGGCTGGGTTCAGGGAGGGAGAACACTAGTGGAAAGGAATGGGACAAAGAAGGGACGGTCATGGGTGAGCTTTTCTCCAGGGAGGGTGGCTGCACTAAATCTCCCACCCTCCGGCACAGCGAGGCCCCGCTGCCCACATCACGCGCTGAGAGGCAAGCAGGGCCGATTCGTGTTTGTTCATTCACTCATGCGATCATCACACGCACCTACATGGAACGCTGCTGCAGCAAGGCGCTGGGATTTGGTCCCTGTCCTGGGAAGTCACAGAGTGACATCTGCCAGACTACAGTGTGCAGCCATGAAAAGGGACTGAGCTTGCCTGACTCCAGGGCAGACAAAACCTGCGGCAGGGCCCGGTAGCCCAAACGGGCTTGGGGCAGGCTGTGACTCCGCCAGACCGAGGCCACAGCCAGCCCTGGCAGGCTCATCCCGTTATCCCTTAGTGCTACTCTGGCCGATGCATTTCTACCCAAGGGACACGAAAAGAACAGAGGTAAAAAAAATTAAAGCCCTTTTTCTCCGTTTAACGGCACATTTCTCGTGCTCACCCAATGGCGGTAGGCAGAGAGTCTTAAGCAATAAAGCAGTCAATGGGGACTCTAGTGCACCAACAGCAATTTTATCCTGAGGAAAAACATTAGCTTACATAATAAAGTTGGGGCAGAATTGTTCTGAGTGGTGTGAGTAGAAATGTTTTGCTGACTGCTGTTGAAATGGGTAACAGACTTTGCATATTATATCACCATTTTTTGTTGTATTTCACATGCAGTGTTTTTCTGCTCTTGACTTTGAGGTGTGAGGGGGAGGCTCTAATCATATGGCCTTGTGCAGATGCTCCATT